GCCACAGATTAAAAGGAATGCACTGCATACAAGGGGAATTACATTCAGTTCTGGAAAACATAAAGTCTAAAAGACATGATAAGGAATTTGAGATTTGATAAGCAGCTAGATAATAAAGCAGCAAGCATTATACCAGGTGATAATGGCCTTTTAATATCTAAAGGGTGGCTGTAAGAAAGAAGGGGACAGACAGATTCTTTGGCAGGGTCTGTTGTAACAGGAAAAGAGGAAATAATTTGCAACTAAAGAGGGGGGATCTAGGCTGGATATAAGAAAAAAGTTTTTCATAGTAACAGTGGTGAGGCACTGGCACAAGTTGCCCAGAGAAGTATTGGATGCCCTATCCCTGAAGACACTCAAGATCAGGGTGAAGGGGCTCTGAGCACCCTGATCTAGCTGTAGGTGTCCCTGTTCACTGCAGGGGATTTGGACTAGATGACCTTAAAAGTCCCTTCCAACCCAAAAGATTCTGTGATTCTATGATTTAGCAAGGTTCACACAAGAAACTCCTAATAATGTACACATGGGAAAGGCAGACTGGTATGCTGAAACGTACATTTTTAGGATATATAGCATGAAAGAACACATGAGAATATATGGAGCTTGAAAATGTGCTTAGCATATGGGTAAGATATTTAGCCAATTGAAGTCCGCACAATAAAGATGTGATAGAAGCTGTCACCAATGGTAAAACACGAGATAAAAGGTATGTAAAGAGTAACTTCGTCTTGGATCTTCTGGCTTCAGCTGGCTGACATATTTAACTACTGAGTTCTTTTCTGTCAACAGTAACAGCAAGAACTTGTTCCCACGATCCTGCCCTTGGCTGGGGCCAGCCCCCCCCAAAAAAAAAAATCAATAAAATCATTGGAATCATTGGAGGAGTAGTTTTCAATCAATTCAAGAAGTTGTAAATGCCAGCAAAAACATCACAGGCAAAACAATCAGTATTTTTTGCTTTGAGTTTGAAAAACATACAGTGGTAAGATTTGAGGGCCACACTTTCAATCAAAATGTCAGCGGAGCTGTTCAAAGCCAAGGGCACCATCTACTCTATGCCCTGAAGAACCTGCATTAATGTCAGTGTTTGTCTTTCCCTGTGAAATTCCAGTTTGAGATGAGAGAATCCATAGAAAGATCTTGAAACCGCAGAGCGAGATGAATGCTGTATTGTCGTGGTATTATACTTATGGTACACAAGACGGATAGAAGGGAAATGTATTCCCTAAGGCCCTGCAGTTAGTGAATGTTTTATTATTACTTTACATCTTCCAGGCATTTTCAAAAAAAATTAACTAATTACTGCTCACAGTACACAGGAGGCAGAATGATATATAGCATTTGGAGTAAAAACCCGAGGCCATGCAAAATTTGTCTCATTTGATGTTTGCATTTAAATTTGAAACTCCGTCCAAACCCATGGACATTCCGAGCGAGTGTGAATCTTTCTGATGTATTGAAACACAAGAAACTAACATTCTTATTTGAAAACAAGTGGAAATAGCAAGATTTATAAGGTTTATGAGTTCTGCTTTGTTTAAATTCGAACACCAGAAGAAAACTTGCAGAGGAACATATTTATGTATTAACTGGAAAAAGAATGCTAACACAGGCCATTGTGAAACATGATTTTCATGTGTTTAGGTGAAATACTGAAGTCTCCCGAGTTATTCCTGTTACTTCCATTGCAGAGGCTGCACACAGACGCTGTTGGCAGCAGGTGTGTGGAATGTCTCTGGCTGCTTCTGCTTGAGAGAAAATCACTCTCTGGTTCCAGTAAATGGTGGATTGGTGGATTATGAAGTGTTTCATATAAACTCTTCACAAGGGAGTTTTATAAGTCTCAGAGGAGAAGCCAGACCATCATCTTCACCCAGCAGCCTGTATTTTAAAGACTAAAACAAAACCTGAAGGTGAGAGGAAACCAGGCTCACCAGGCTGTGTCACCAGGGGAAATGATCCTTCCAGGTCTGCAGTGAGATTTTACTTCTGCAAAGGGAAGGGGCAAGGCTGAGCCACAGAACCCCTCCCCTCGGGTTTTATTCCAGCGCTTGGCTGGGACCAAGAGTGGGCCTTCCTCCTCCTTTACTGTCCTCATCTTTCTTAGCATTTCAGCCCTGTGCAGTGACAGAAGGAGGGGCAATGGGTACAAACTGCAACATTGGAAGCTTCATACAAACATGAGGAAGAATTCCTTTACTGTGAGGGTGACAGAGCACTGGAACAAGCTGCCCAGAAAGGTGGTGGAGTTCCCTTCTGCGAAGATACTCCAAACATGCCTGGATGCTTTCCTGTGGAACCCCACGTGCTTTAGCGGGGGGTTGGCCTAGGTGATCTCTGGAGGTCCCTTCCAACCCCTACAATTCTGTGATTCTTTCTCAGTCCGTGGGCGATGAGGAAGGCAGCAAAGTCAATGGGGGACACACGATTTATTTCCCTCTCAACCCGACGAGCCAAGGGCAGGTGTAGGACAGCCAAGGCAGGCTGTGAGGAGCCTCCACCAACAACCAACCAAAGAGCAGCAACGGCAGCCCTACATACAGGGCTGAGACCCCCTTTTCCCGGGGGCGTCCCCCCGCCCTGCGTCCGGCGCCTCCGTCCCCATAAAGGAGGCGGGCAGGGCCGAGGAGGCCGCGCCGGCAGCGCAGAGGGAGGGAACGCGCTGAGGGGAAGAGCCGGCGCGCGTGGCGGGGAGGCGGCGCGGAGGGAGGGCAGGCCGGCTGCGGGAAGCGGGGCTCCGCGCTGGGACTGGTTCCTTCGCAGCCATTTTCTGTCCAACCAAACAGCCGATTTGCGGAGGGAGCCAACCAGGGCCGCACTGGAGGTTTGTGCCTGGCTCCGGCCAATGATTGGTAACCGGTTCCACTGCAGGCTCGAATGAAATGTCCGTCTCCCTCCTCGGGCCCCGGCGCCGCCGCCGCGCCGCCGCCGCGGGGACCAGGAAGTGGGGGGCGAGCAGCCCCCGGGCCCCGCCGCCATCGGCTGCTCGCCCGCTTCTTTGTGCGGCCGGGGGGAGCGGGGCCGTGCGGCCGGGGAGCGGAGCGGAGCAGAGCGGGCGGCGGGGAGAGAGAGAGAGAGGGAGGGAGGGAGGGAGAGAGAGAGAGGCGGGCGGGCGGGCGGACGGACGGGGAGAGAAGCGAGGCGGCGGCGGCGGAGGGTCTCGGTGCGGCGGCTGCCCCCGTCTCGACGGGGAGGTGCCCCCCCGGTTCCGGCTCCATTTTGCGGCCTAGGCGGGGGGAGGCGGAGGCGGGAACGCGGTTGCCCCGCGGCCGTGTCCGCCGCGGGCCGGGCCCTAACGGCTGTGCTACTCCCGTGCAGCTTCGGGGTCCCCTTCCCGGCTGGGAGGAGGCTTGCTGGCGGGCACGGCGAGCGCCCCACGTTGTTGCGGCCCGGCCGCTGTGCCCCCCTCCCCGCGGTGCGGCGGGAGGCCCCGACACCACGCCCATGGCCGCCGCGCCCGGCCCGGCGTGGAGCGGAGCGGCCGCGCCGCCACCGTTGCGGTCCGCGAAGGAACGGTGCGCGGGCGTGGAGCGCGGGGAGCGGCTCCGGGATGGGGTGAGCGTGGCCGTCCGGCTGCGTGCTGCGGGGCCCAGGCCGGAGAGCGGGAGCTCTATCGGCTCGCTGCAGCGCTGCCCGGCGAGGTGGCTGACAATAAAGTTGCTGAACGGCTGGGAGCACGTTGTCTCGTTCCATCTGAAAGCAAGGAATGAAAGGTGACCGCCGACCAGGCGTGCGCTGGAGTGAGGAAATGTGTGTAAATAGGGTTTCCCTCCCGTGCCTCGCTGTGGGTGCTGTTGCATCACTGAAGGGCGCGACATCAGGAAGAGAGATCGATCAGCCCGCCGGGCTGCGACCGAGTCGGGTCGGCGGGTTAAACAGTAACACAGGGACGGTCGGGGACATGGAAGCCTGCCTTTGCTAGGTGTCTACCTTACAGTTGTCGTAGGTGCCGCGAGTGAGCAGGTCACCCTGTTCGCAGGTGTACCTCTGTGTGCCAGCTGCTGCTCTGTCCAGAAACTGCAGCTGGTGATCCTGGAAAGAGGTATATTGTGTGAGTTATTCATAGACAATCAGAGCAGGAAGGAAAACAATCACCTGTTCTAACCGTAGTTCTGCAGCTATTAAGATATACGTAATTCTTTCACTTTGTGTTACAGATCCCAATGAAATTGTAATATGACAGAAGATCATAGAAAACCAGTAGGTTTCTAGCTTTACCAGTCTCTTTCAGACTTAGCCAAAAAGTTGTTCTCGTGTAAAAGTTATCTAGTGGACTCGGGTGAGTTTTGGGAGGGCAGCGACTTGAGTGATTCTAGGCAGGCAGAGAGGTGGATGCCTGGATTTCAGTCCTCAAATGGCATCCTTTGTGTTGAGTAACCTGTGCCTGTCTCACCGTTACATTGTTTGATTTAGATTGAAGTTGTCATCAATAAAAAATGCATTTAAAAAATCTTAGTGCTTTGTTAAAAGGAGCCCAGACAAAGCTGTGGCAAAAAGTTAAGTGGAAGGTGCTGCTTTGGGCATTACTCACAGCCTGGCTTTAATTGACTTGCAGGAGTGCAGAAGTGATGTTTATGCATAATCATTAGCACAATATTCTTAACAATAAGGTCAGTGATTGCTTGTATTTATTTATGTGGCCTATGGCGCAGCACTTTAATGCTAGGGAAGAATTCAGTTGTAATTCCCTGGGAGATCTGAGGTGGCTTAATCTGAATCGCTATCTTTGAGGTTTCTGCTTGTTTCTCGTGCTCTACTTTGAGCAGGTGATTATATATAGGCTTGGCTGTTAGTGTTGACAGACGTAAAGCTATATTTGAAAGAAGCCAGGAACATGGGATATTACTCTTCAGGCTTTAATATTTGACAGTTACAGCAGTTCAAAGTTCAGTACAGAACCTCTTATTTGTAGTAATGATTATGTGAAGGGAGACAGCGTGCAGAGCTCTTTATTTTTGGAGGCAGGAGGGAGATCCAGAATACTTGAAGATTCAAAACATCAAATGCTTTATAACTGTTTTGTAGTCATATCTGTTTTTGTTTGTCAAAAAAATGGGGGGAGGAGGAAAAGAAGGAAGCTTGCAAGGCTCTCTTCAGCTGATGCTTTAAACTTGGCTTTTCAGGTGTGATTTTTGATACAGTACGTCAGAGAAATATGGAATTTGGAAAATGTTTTAGTGCCATGATGCTGGGAAAACATGCAAGCGGTCACAATGTATGCATGTGTGGAACAACCTTTATAAGTGATGTTGATAGTAGGAAAGAAATCATTAGCAAGTCTGAGGATTCTGCTGAAAATAGTTGTCTGTCCTGAACCAGCTTTGTATAAACTCCTCCTGGTCCTGCAGCTGGAGATGGAGAAACTTCTCAACGCTTAACTGACATATTGCCACAGTGAAGGAAAAGCATAACCAGTTCACCAATGAAAAAGACAGCTGCTTTAATAAACAGATAAGCTTAGTTTTTCACCAAAGATGCTAGAGAAACACCAAAAACCCCATATGGAAACACAGCATAGTGCTTACAGTCAGTGCTGCAGCAGGAAGGAGCTGCTGAGGCTGAGTCCTTTCAGTGCCACTGCCTCGTTCAGCTTCTGCAAAAGCACCAACTCGTGGCCCAGGACAGTAGGACTGGTGAGATAGGCCATGGTGTGACATTACTGCTGGTAATACTGATGGATGTGGGAATGTGGAAGGGTTGGGTGGGCCCTGCTGGGCTTTGGAAGGGAGAAATTTTCTCACAGCAGTCCAGAGGAAGGAACCCAATACAGGCTGGATGCCAACGAGTGTTAGTGAAGCTGTCAGGTCCTCTCAGCATCAATCTGCTGTTCCTGATGCCTTTCTGCTGTTGGGGAAAACGTTGTGTTGAGAGATTAGAGGAGCTGGAGATTGGGAGAGGCAGGGTGGCATCTGTTTGTGTTCTAGGCATGTGCCAAGGGGTTTTGGCTTTACATTTCTGCGGATGTGCTGGAGTGATGCCCTGTGCCCGTGGGTGCATTTACCAGGCAGCATTTCCTGCTGTGGGAGGCTTTGCTTCCAGGTGTGAATTCAGTGGAGATTCGGTTCATCAGAAATCACTGGCAATAAAAGGGAATTAATACTGTATTTTTCAATCAGAAATTTTCTCTGTAGGTACAGCGAGTGAGCAGAAAGCTCAGATAAAACCTTGTTGTCCCCACTGGATGTGATGTGCTGCTTTTCAGGTTTACATCTTCTATGCTATGGGCAGGTGGCAAAATAAAACTACGGTGGCTGATATAGTGAACTGCCTATACCTTTAGTTACCTTATCTGTCCTGCTTCCGTGGCAGCTACAAAGAAGGTTCCTCATTCTTCAGTCTGTGGCATAGAATTTTCTGCTGTCCTTCATTTGAAGTAGCAGTTTGAGAGAGGGATGAGCTGTATAAATACTGCATGGTGCTTAAAGCCAAAGAGGTACGTGGTTTCCCTTGAGAGACCAGTTTTGCAGACTAATTTTTGTCAGGTAATTCTGAAGACAAGCTCTTTCTAGCTTTTATTCCATTTTTCCCTTGTATGCTGATGAAAGCATCAGACCCATCCTCTCAGCAAAAGCAGCTTAGGGTTGCATTGTTACAGTTACCCTTTAGCAGAGCCACAGATACTGCTCTTTAGGAGAGCTTTTTAGATTAAGCAGGATGCAAGATTTACTTCAGGGTAGTGAGGATTCATCAGTTCTGTGTAGATGTATTCTAGGAACGGTGTGAGTTGTGGGCTGCTGACAGAAGCATTTTTTTTTTTGTAAGCATCCTCCAGAAGACTTCCTACGAGATGGTAGTGTAAAACTGTACATGCACTCACTTTCACTCATTGAGTTTTCTTTGTCTTTGATCTGAAGTGTTTCCCTTTCAAAGTATTTCTGGTGTTACTTTCCCTGAGCTGTTAATTTGTATCTTCCTAGTAAAGGTCTCCTTCATTAGAGGTACCAGGGACAGGCAGAATGCATGGTTGGCCTTGATGATCCGAAGGCTCTTTCCTAACTAAATGATTCTGTGATTCTCAGCGTTTTCTTAAAGCGAGTCCAGTGATACTGAGAGCTTTTCCTTTTTAAAAAGGCAATTAATTAGAAATGTTGTACTTCAAGCAGTATTTTCTCAGCGTTAGATTATGTGGTTATGTACTGTGGGCACTGGCTTGAGCAGGCTGTTAAATAAGCGGTGATCCAAGTGTCTTCTTGAGTTCTGACCATCTGAAGCTGAACCTGTAATACCTGCACAGGTAATTGTATTCACTGTGAGATAACTGAATTATCTTGCGCTCCTGCATTAGGGACTTGGCTGTGCAGAAAGGTGTTACACTGTCCATCCAACCACTGTGCTGTGGTTGTCTTAAAAACCTTTCCTACAGTCTAAGCACGGAAATAATTTCAGTATGTATAAGGCTGCCAGTGTCTGTTTGCTTTATCTGGGATAGATCTACCTGTTTCTTTTGTGCAAGCCTTTTCCTTTCAGTTCTACTGATCTAATTGCTGGCTTTGATTTGCAATGGTGATAAGATTCCACACACACACAAAAACCTTGCTAATTATCAGGTGACATGTAAGTAAAAATGGAAATGTGGACACAAGAGAAAAAAAGCAAAAATGGTACCTGAAAAATGCATTAATCTAATGAGGTCAAAAGTGCCAAGAGATGCAGTGGGCTTTGAGAAGAGATTCAGACAAGAATTGTCCTTTGAAGGAGAGTAGAGCTGATGAAGGCAATGGGAGCTTCCTAAGCAATGTTACTGGGACTTGGCTATGAGGATGGGGGGGGGGGGGGCAGCTTGCAGAATGGGTGGGTGGAAGCAGATGAGCTATCCCATCGTAGTATCTTGAAAGGCACGCTTCATAAAAGGCTGTGGGGGAACCTCAAGGCATTTCAGCTAGAACTGGGGCTGAATGAGTTTCATGCTTAGGATTTGTGGAGTCCATAATTCTGAGTTAAATTTGAACAGGGACCAGAGCTGAAACTGAGCTCTGGGAACAAGACTACCAGAAAATCCCAAATTAATTTTGGAATCAGCTTTTGGGATTTAGCAGACTACAGAACATAACCACTTTGAATTACAGAAGCAGAATTACAGTGGCATGGCTGTTCTGAGGAAAGGCAATATCAGTTTTGGTGTTTTCGATGCTCAGGATTGAGGAACCTTTTCACAGTTGTTACAGTGAGCTGAGTAAGCAAACTCTGAACGCTGGAAAATTGAGAAGTGAAGTCTTCTTACAAAGAGCCTGCAGCACACAGACAAAGCAGTCTGCTGTGACACCTGGCATGAGGAAGGTAAAGCTTAAGGCGCTGCCCTTCTTCAGGTAGAGCTGCTGTATGTGAAATGAAACTGTTTTAAAAGCCCATCGGAAAGGATCAGAAGTACTTTACAGGAAGCAGTGGGCAGTGCTGTGCACTGGAGAAGAGGTAGAAGAGTTCTTCCTTTAACCAGCTCCTACGGCTGCATCCAGCTATGTAATGCTGCTGTGAATGCCTGCAGTGCTCAGGTTTCATGTGTGTCTGTGGCTGAGCATGGCACCGGATGTTGCTTCAACATTTGTAAGCAAAACCTCAGCCCTTGCAGCCTCAGAGCTCAGATTTGAGAGAGGTTTGGTTTCTCATATTTCTGGGAGGTGTAAAAATAGCACAGGACTGTCTCACCCTCACCCTCTTGTAGGCCAGTGGGAGCTGCAGGCTCTTGTTGGCAGTGACCACAGCACAGTCAAATGCCTTCCTCCCTCCTTTCCTCTGCTGCCTTTCAGGGCATAGAACGGGGATGACAGAGTGAGCAGGTAAAGAGCAAAATGTTATCAGAAGTGTGTGGCATCCACAGCCAAGAAAGTCTGAGGTGAAGGAAAATCTGATACTGTGCATGGAAAGGTGCTCAAAAATATCTCTAGGTTTCTGAGCCATTGTAGAAAGAATTCTGCACACGCTGGGAGCCCCTTGAGTTCTTGGGGTTTTTTTGCATTGCTTCTGCTCTCTAGAAACAGCATCATTACAGTCTTACACAGGTGAAAACAAAAACAGAAAAGTGGTATTTGAGATTTATGGGAACTAAATGCTCTGCAAAAGTTTATTTTCAAGGCATCAACGAGAAAAAAGTCAAGGTTGTTCAAATTCATGATGTTGCAGTTTAATCTGATTGCCTGGGATTTTGTTTTTTCATTCATAAAGATGCTTGGCCCTGGGGCCATGCCTGACCTGGGGATGGGCTATAGGTTGTCATTAAAAAGAAAAAGAAAAACTGCACAAATTAAAACCAAAACTGCTATTAGGAAGTGCTAACCTTTGTTTTAACGGAATACATGAAGCTACCTCTCTTTAGCTAAGTTATTTAACTTAGCTTTTTTGTATGAATGAGAAATAGCTGCAAGAATTGCTCTTCACTGTGTTGCAGCTGAAGGAATGATCGAAATCAAAGCAATTAGTAAAGTGCAGCAACTATGAGAGTTCTCAAATAGCAAAATATTCAGGCTGTAACAATTGGTTCTCGTAGTTGTAGGTTTATTAAGTGCTGTTTTCCAGCTGTAGCTGCTCTTAGCATATAACAAACGTACCTGAAAGCATTGCTTCTTCTGGTTTTAGATGGATGGTGATAGCTCCACGACGGATGCTTCTCAGTTAGGAATTGCTGGAGATTACATTGGTGGCAGTCACTACGTGATACAGCCTCACGATGGTAAGAAATGTAAAATATTATTATTTTTGCCTCTACATAATTTCATTTGAGTTCTTGTGAACTTCTCTGTTATCATTTCCAAGCTAAGATAATTGTTTGTATTTATGAATCCATTAAGGCTTCATCCAGTAAGGCATCCATTATGATGCCTTACTGTATAAAGCATTTTTCCTGCAGTCTAAAGGTAACTTTGGGAGTTATCAGTGTTGCTACTGAGTCCCTGGGGGCGATGACAAAAACCTTGCCTTTCTAGGAAAGAGTTTTTGTTTTGACATGACATTTCTGTGTATAATGAGATAAGTATGGTGCCAAACACACATGAAGGTACTGTGGTATCATCTGTGGGTTTGGGTTTTTTTTGTTTTCATTTTGGTTATTTCTACATTATTAATACAGTGGGCTTTCAAAAGTCATTAATCTTTCAGTTTAAGATTTTCAACTTGACTTATTGCCTGTTATCTATCAAATACAATTTCTGTTAACTTCTTCAGACACAGAAGACAGCATGAATGATCATGAAGATACAAATGGTTCAAAAGAGAGCTTTAGAGAACAAGATATCTATCTTCCAATTGCAAATGTGGCAAGGATAATGAAAAACGCCATACCCCAAACAGGAAAGGTAACACTCTCATCTTCAAACAAAATCTAGTATTGAGTTTTGTTCCTTTCTCTGAGTGAACTGAAGCTGGCAGAGCTGCATTTTCTGGACAGGGGGCTGTTGAGATCAAATCTTTTCTCTTTTTTTTCTTTTTTTTCTTTTTTTTTTTTTTAGGTTTCAGAAAGCTTTTAGTAATTTCCCTAATTACAGGGGCTGCAGCAGGGCTCCTATAGGGCTTTCAAGGGCATTATTTTTCATAGATCTTTTCCCTGATGTTGTCAACAAGTCGAACTTGGTGACAATCCCACATCACTAAGAACTTTTTCTATGGAATTATGTCCTAAAAGAAGTAACTTTCTGCTTTGACTTGTTTCAAATGTGGAATAAGTGGAACTTCTTGGATGAAATAAGAATCCATTTCTCTTCCTGAAGGAAAGAGAACACTCAGGTCATTTTAGCATTTGGATATGGATATTCAGGCAATAGCAGACTAAGAGCCTGCTTTGTACCACATAGTAAGCAAGTCAGGTATTGGAAGACTTATTTTATTTCTTTCTTCTAAGAATAGACTCTTAAATCAATTCTGAGCTGGCAACAGGATAAGCATTTAAATGTTCTACCTGTTTATGTTAAAACTTTGCAGGGCTCCTATTACTTGCTGCTTTAACTCCTAGCTAAGGCTGAATTTTTTTTTTTTTTTTTTTTACATTCCTTCAAATAGAAGCAAGGCATAATTTTCTTGCATCTGCTCATACTTTCACAGTGTTCAGGGCTTTCTGGAAATCTGGGTGTTACATTTTTATCTTTGCTGTGAAAAATTCTTCACTGGTCCATATTGTCATAAATTTTTAGCAATCAAGATGAGATTTTTCTCAAGAATTCAGCATATGGGATGCCAAGCTCTCTTGAAAAATCGGGGAGGTCTTTGTGAAAAGCTGCAAGGGAAGCTGTTGGCTGATGAGTATTTCTGAAAATCTGGCTCTATTCCTCTGAAAATATCAGAGGAATTGAAGATCCTGCGTAGTTACCACTTTGTTATTTTAAGGGGAATACAAACAGGTTCTTCTCATGTGAAGAATAAGGATCTTAATTATTATAATCCTTCAGTTGGCTCCTGTCATCTTCCCTAATAATCTTGAGCAATGCTTGCTGTTATTTTAAGTGAGGTAAATTACTTTGTCCAGCTGAAAAGCAGAATCAAATATATTTATTTCATTCTTGCCAGAGGCATGTTGTGTTTCTTCAGCTGAATTCTCATTTGGCAAATTTATACAGGAATATTAAAGCACTAGAGGAGCTTGCTGCTAGGCATGTATTTCAGTCCCTGAATTCAGTCAGGGTAAAAAAAACCTCATCATGGTCAGGTTGGTGAGAATGTGCTGCAGTGGGTTGGAACTGTTGGTCTATTGAAAGGAAGATGTAAGTGGGCTGTGACTTTGTAATGAGCAGATTTGAAGGAGTGGGTAAGCAAATCCAGGCACAGTATTGATACGTACCTGTATATATGAAACTTTATACAGAGCACAATTATGAGTTCAGAAAATGCTGACAGTTCTGCTGAAATAGTAAAGCTTCATTTAAAACCATTACAGCTGTGCTTACATAGAGTAGTGATGACATCCAGTGGCTATCTCACATACATACCTAAATGGCAGCATCACCCGATGGTGGGATGCTTCCTTTATTATCTATTACCATCTAACCTTCTTGGTTTTTTTTTTATTATTTATTTTTAGTTTTCTCAGATCTTCATCATTTTATGATGCTTTTCCTCTCTAGATTGCTAAGGATGCAAAAGAATGTGTGCAAGAGTGTGTAAGTGAATTCATCAGCTTTATAACGTCAGAAGCAAGTGAGAGGTGTCACCAAGAGAAAAGAAAGACCATCAACGGGGAGGATATTCTCTTTGCCATGTCTACCTTGGGATTTGATAGCTATGTTGAGCCTCTGAAGTTATACCTCCAAAAATTTAGAGAGGTTGGTCTATACTTCAATGTTTCCTCATTTATTTGTCCTGATTTTTTTATTCTGAGCCCTTTGTTGGATTTCTGTAATGGCTGACTTGCACTGTATCTCACAATAATTGTCAGGGAATAATGGGGACTAATGTAGCATTTTAAAACGTTTCAGAAGCTCTCAGGAGAAAAGAGTAAGCAAGCATTTTGATTAGACTTGCTGATTCAAAGTAGTTAAAGCTTCCTCCGAGTAACTTCTGTAATATATATGGAAGTAAAGCACTAAATTCTTTAAAAGCACCTATTCAGAATACTGAATTTGATCTTTGGGTTCTATCCATAAAACTGTACTGGATGGCATCCTCTGAGGATCTGGCCTAATGCCCGCTGTTTGGGCTTGGGATCTGAAAAAGATTGTTTTTCTCATGTCGGAATAATGATTTGAATGAAGGACTATTTTTTACAGTGGTATTCCAATTTGCTCTTTGTTACTGCTTGTCTGCTAATTTGCTTTTGATACTTTGTATCTGCTAGGTATGCGATCCAGGCATTTTCCTTTATCCTTTCTCTAGCAGAAAATGGCTTTTTTTCCCCCTTTCAGCAATTTAATTGGGATTTTTTTTTTTCCACTTCCTCCTACCTGGAGACTAAAGAAAATTTTACTTCTTTATTCTATATTCTGTCTACCTCAAAGTACAAGTTGTAATCAAACAAATCAAAGGCATTTTCATCCGATGACCTCTCTTCCTTAAATCTTGAATGAAGAAATTGTTCAGGGTCAAAATGATCATGGAAAGAGGCTTTACTGGCATGAGTGAAGCAGGGAGGTCTGAATTGGCACTGCTGTAGGAAGGGATGCTCTTCAGATGTTGTCTGTTCTGTAAATCCAAGTTTTTTCAATTAACAGGGCTAGGCTCACTAGCAGTATTTAATTTGCTGATAGCACTTGAAGCTTCCACTTCCCAGGAGGTCATTTGTTATGATGGACTGTGAGCAACAGGAGGTGAAATCTAAAAATTGAAGAAGGGCTGTCTGCTGTCTTTTCCCACTTCCGTATAGCAGTAACAACACTTTGATGGCACAGGCACGTGCTTTAATTAAAGCAAGTGATGCCTATCTAGTTGTGGTACTTCTGGAGAAGTCTGAAGTGGATCTATTCTGCTCTTCTTCTGAAATGTCCATCTTTTGCAGATGTGTATGCCATGGTAGCAGAGTATTGTGATTACTTTTTAAAATGGTTTTGAGTGCCTTGGACAGTTCTGGCCATCAGTTTTAAGCCTCCATTCTGTATTCTGTCAGGTACTCCATGAAGGTTTCTGTTTTGTAGCTTTTATGTTTGTTCTACATCAAACAGTTGCAGAGATATATATATTTTTTTTAATATGTTTTTAGTGTTTTTTCCTGCAGGTTCTTATGTAATAGTACAGATCATCAAACTTCATAATTAAAGAACTGCACACAGATGACTGGGAGCCTTGGCTTTCTGTGCTGATATTCTTTGTGGCTGCAGTCCTTGCTGTAGGGGAAGAAATCCAATATCTTGGTTTTAAATGTCAACCCTTTGCTGTATGATGATGGCACTTGAATATGGTTGGTGGGCAAAGGTTGTGCACTCACTGGTTCTGAGACTGTGATTCCATATACACGTGCTAGCTGCTGCTTCTGGATTGTTGCACATCTCTGACTTTGTGCAGAAGTAAACTTCTAGAACTACACAATACTAATTTTGCTGAGTTTTGGCTTCTGAGGAGTATGACTAAGATTAAAAAAATGCCCTTCACCTGTTCTTGTACTATGCACAGTCTTAAACACAAGTTTTGTAGGTCTTGGATTTCAAAGTCCAGCTCAACTTCCAAACCTTGGATTCTGCAAGCCGTCTCATGCCAAGAATGCACTAATGTGGATACCCATTTTTCTTCTGTCCAGGCAATGAAAGGAGAAAAGGGAATTGGGGGAACAGTTACAACTGGAGATGGTTTAAGTGAGGAGCTCACAGAAGAAGCATTTAGTAAGTAATACTCTTTAGTTGTTTTCGTTATCGTTACGAGTCTTCTAAAACAATGCGTCCTTTAGACATGATAATTCTTAACCAAGGAAGAGATTCTGGGCCACTTGTGTTGTATCTATGATCCACTGAGACTTCCATTTGAGAAGTCTGGAGGATACCCTCTGCTTTTCTGACTTATCCCGGTCAGAATTTATATCAAAATGAAGATGGTGGGAAATACTGACACAGTAGTAGTAACTCCTGTCAACTGTGGGAGACTTCTAAGCACACATACGTTAGTGCCAGTATTTTCCTCTATACTTAAGCATGGATTGTAATGAAAGATGTAAGATCTTTTTGTTTGTTTGTTATGTGGGTTTCATTCTTTTAATTTACAATTAAGAGTTTACTATTTGGATTTCCTAATCTTTATCTGCATTGTCTTACGGAATAGCTCTTTTGGTTCAGAAGTGGTAAGGCATGAATTAGGCCCAATTCATTAACCTGGACTGCAGCTGAGATGCTTGTGGTCTGTTTTCTCTCTCTCTCTCTCTCTCTCTCTCTCTCTCTCTCTCTCTCTCTCTCACACACACACACACGTACAACTGAAAAAAAGATTCCTATTCCATCTGTGGATCATCTGTCCCAACAAATCTGATACTGTATTATTACTATTATACCATTAAGTGGCAGAAGGCTGAAGGTCTGTTCCTTGTCCCTTTTTCAAATAGCCCAGGCCTGGGAGGCTCAGAGTGCCCTATGAAATAAGCATTAATTTGCTGTGATTTGAAGAGAGCAGCTTTGGAAGAGAACAGTCAGTGTTGGCAGGATGCCCAGGGAGATGTTGCAGTAGCAGAAAGGCGGGGAGAGGGATTTCTTTGAAGTGAGTGATGGTGTCACGTGCTGCAGGCATTTCTTCTCTGTAGGGGCGCAGCTATGGATCCCTTCAGGGTTGTGGTCTCGCAGCAGCAGCAGTAATAGCTGTGCTGCTGCAGCATAGCCTGTAGTTCTTCTTCGTAGATCTGCACCACATCTGGGTCAGAGAGCTGGCATTAAGCTGTTTAACATATGTGGTGGAGGGTGCTGTGATTTTAAATCTGTCTAGATCTGTGGAGATCTTTAAAGCCTCAGTTAACTTGCCAACTTAAGCGTTTGAAAGTTAATACGATGAAGGTAAGCAAAAACAAGCTTCAGCTTTTGTATTGAAGCTGTTTGGATTACACTGTTTTGATATTCTTATGGGTTTTGCCTCTTGTACAGAGTGTTATGCTGTATAACAACTTAACTTACAACCTGGAAGCTTTACTTCCAGCTAACACTTGCAGCACGTAGTTACTCTGAATGTCACAGAGCTTACTGTTATGCATTACTGTAGGGCTTTGGCTTAGGGCATCATCCCTGAATTTTCTTTATAAATGTCAGAAGTACTTTTTACTCGGTTCATTGGCCTCATCTTTCCTCTGTAAAATTCAGAGATAACCTGAAAGGCACGCTGAAGTCATGCAGCATAATGTCAACTGCCTCCACGTTAGAGCTTTTATGAAGAAGTACCGCTTTTTCCCTGAGCATACACATGCACGAGGAACTGAAGTGCTAAATCTTATGTCTAAACAAACTCCAAATTCTCCAGATTTCTTAGAGTATTGAATGTTGGAGATTGGGGTTTTTTTTTGATGGTCAGATGGCAAAATCCAGTCCTCAGTGTGCTGCTGTGTATGTTCTACCTCACATTCGTGTCTTACTTCTAGCTTATCCGATGCAAAATCCAGGTGAATTTAGGTTCTGAACTGCTGATGGAGATATGTAGCAGTGATAACGAGCTTGGTGATGTAGCTGTCATGAGAGGAACTGTTCCACAGACCCAGAGCATGCCACAACTAAATGTTTTGTAGGTAACACACACTTCAAACAGGGCTCCATGTATCCCGTGGTTCTTGTCTAACTTCCTTAAAATGCTTTTTCTTTCAGCTAATCAGTTGCCAGCGGGCTTAATAACTACAGACGGCCAGCAGCAGAATGTTATGGTCTATACAACATCGTATCAGCAGGTACAGTATCCTATCATCTGTTCTCCCTTCTGCTGCAAAAATTCAAATGCTAACTCAGCTGCCTTCCTCTGAAAGGCAAAAACTGATGATATTTTTAGTACTTTGGTGGCTGTTGTGCCATCCCAGTGCTCTGACAACTCAAGGCTGCTGATGGTGATGCTGTTTCAAAACGTGTGAAGTTGAATGTAAGCTTCCATTTTCTTTCTCCAGATCTCTGGTGTTCAGCAAATTCAGTTCTCATGATTTGAAGAAAACTTTGGATCTGGGAACGCGAGATGCAGAAGCTGTGCAACTCTAATGAAAAGACAGTTTTAATGACTGGTGAAGAGATTTCTCTCTTTGTATATTAAATAGCTGTAATGTAGCTACCTGAAGCTTGACTAATTGAGGTATGAATTCAGACTCAAATCTTTTTCATGAATAATTTTAAAGAAACAAATTGGATTTTAAAGGTATTAAAGTATTTTTGTTTTGTACAAGAGTTTGTTGCTCTGTATAACTCCTGTATGCATTGTATATTGCAATTTATTACTGTCAGAGATTTGTAGACAGTTTCTTATTTTCATATTGAATCATGTTACTTTTGTAATTCAGGTAAACAGCTGGGTTAATTCATGTTTACCCTTTGAATAAAATGGTAAGGGTAAAGTTCATTTTTGAATGCAAGTTGCCTTTATTATAAAGATTGAGTTGGTCTTGGTTATGTAACTTGTCTTGCATGACAACCTCAGCTAACTTTAGATGTCATGATATTTATTGAAATTTTGAAAGGGACTTTTTCTCACAAAAGTGCAGCTCAGAGGCATTGCTACAACTGTTTTTTATGTAACTTGAAGCTTAGAAGTAAATCAGAAACAAGCGACTCTCCTACGGTTAGAGACTTAGAGCTAGTCAACAGTGTTAATGCAAACACTGATGGTGTATGATGCAGGTCTTCATTTCATTCTTTTTCACTCGCTCCTTAGACTGGTTTCGGTAAGTTTAAGGTGGTCTTTGTGCTACTGAAAATAGCTCTTCCTTTTTATGTATGGTTTTTAGTATCCAAAACCTAGAAATTCTACGGTAGTGGGGGGTGGGGGGGATTTTATAGTCCTTGTGGTAAGAGACCTCATTTTAACTTTCTACTGAAATGTTTTCAGGTTGCTTGTGAGACTGTGGGAACTGAAATGTGTTAGCAGCTCTCTGTGTACAGCGTGTGTGTGAGCGCGTACGTGCGAGTGGCTGAAACTGGGACAAGCGGTACAAATCTGCAACGAATGGTAGACTTCAACTTTGCTGTCTCTTTTCTGGTTTTGCAATAAACTCTAACTAGAGAATGTAGTTCTGCATATTTAGCCAACTGTTCTTGGTAACATTGCTGTTTCTTTAATAGCCAGGTGGGTGATTTTGTTAGATGCCCTTCCTTAGCCTGTTAAGATAGGGGTGGTGGGTTTAGTAATAGCCTGCAATTTGGAACCTTCTGTTTTTTTTTCTACTGCTTGCAAGAGACTAACGTGTAATCGTTATTTTTCCATTTACCTGTCATTAATTTAAACAGATCACACCTTGCCTTCATTGCCATACCATTTCTTCTTGGTAAACAAACAAGTAACCATTTAATATTGGAAAAATATCTCAACTGAGCCATCTCAGAAGCCTGAAATAGTCAATTCTGTGCTACTCCAAAACTTCAATGTATGTGTGGATTTAAACAGTGTTCTTGCAAGCCAGCATGATGCTGGCAGAGTGTCTAGGGGAGGCACAGTGTATGCTGTAGCAGTCCAGGCAGATGTTCTGGGGTTTGTGGCAGTCTGCAGTTCTTCAGCAGCTACACCTCTAAACAAATGGAATTTTTCATTAGATGTACAACTGGACAACACAGTCACTACAGGAGCTGTGTGTGAATACAAATACAGGTTTGTATTCAGTTTCTTTAAGTCCTCCATACCCTTTTTCCATTGCAAATTTGGCTGCAGAGCTGTGATTACTGCTAAGGAGAAGCTAGGGGTTTTGCAGCTGGATGTGTAGAAAGGGAGTGAAGGGTGTCTAACTCATTTGCTTGAGATCAATTGCATCTTTCTTGCTCTGCCTGCTCTTCTGTGAGCTTAGGTTAAGGAGTTCTCTTGAATTCATGGTTTATGAACTATCATCAGAGCAAAGGAGTCAATGTTACTTTGTTTTGCTTTTCCTGTACTCCCTCTCACACCCCACCCCACTCCATGTGGTTGAGGGACAAAGCTGCATCAACCTTGTTCCATTCTCTTCCTGAAAATACAGCTGTGGAAGTAATTGTTTGTAGGGTGTTACAGTGCTGATAAAGTACGTATGGCCCTACGTATGGAAATAATGGAGGGAACTTGTCTGAATTTGGATCAGTCAATGGTAGTTAACACAACCACAACTCGGCCAGCCCTCTACATATTCTCACCTTCTTACTTGTCAGCGCTCATGATATAAACTACTTTTAAAGACTAAATGGTAGTAACCATTTCTGCTACATTCCATCTGCTTCTGTAGAATTGCAGTCTTTCTGGCTGTCCGAGTGTTTTGTTTGAACTAAAACAGCTCAGAACTGAGCTTGAAGTCAAGACAGCAGTGGCAGCCTATTCCAGAAGCTGAAAAAAAGGATGCTTGAAACAAATAGCAGTGATACTCAGAGACCTCTTTTCAAACAGTGACTTTCTCAGGTACCTCTCCATGACACAAGTTTTTCTGCCTTAACTTAATGATCCTTGTGACACTCATACAGTGGGCCCAGTACAAAAAAAGCACGGAAACAACATACCTGTAATCAAAATGCAGTCATAAGGAAAGCTAAGCTTGGAGTTCTTCCGTGCCCTGTTTTCATTGGATGTTCAATGGAAGCTGGTGCTCTGCCTTTATCGATCTCGCTGATGTAAGCATACGTCTTTGCTGTTCTATTTATTCCTTGGGTCTGGTCTTTGCTGCACGCTAAATGGGTGTTTGGGAAATGTGAGGTGGGACATCCCAAGCATCAGCTGACCGTGCTTATCTGCCTTGTAGCCAAAAATCAGTGTGATGCTTTAGAAAGCTGTCCTCTTGAAATGCCTCGTAAATGTGCTGTGAATCGTGTCAGATAAGCAGATGGCCCCGCTGTCGTTCGGAGATGATGCCCCCACTAATGTACCATAAGCAGCTATAGGTGCAGAAGGATAGAGATCGATTCCTCTCTGGCCAGCAGCAGGAGGAGAACATATGGGTCACTGCACATGCACAGGAGCTGCCTCAATGCAGAGCGACAATGAGCATAGGGGAAAGCCAAAGGCCTTTCCTCAGTGCCTTGCTGTCATGATGAGAGCTGGCAGCAGCCTTGCTTGTAGCTTAAAATTCTTCATTTTGTAGCACTTTGGGTGTGATTAATGTTCCAGTTGTCAGGCAGGCTTGCTGCTTCCATTCTATTTAAAGAAAGAAGACAACTTGCTTGTAAATTGCCACATTCCCAGATCACGCAAGCCAGACTTTTTTCAATTTCAATTTGTACTGAATAAAATAATGGATTTTTTTCACTTAAACGTGAAGTGAATTTTCTTCTATTTGTAAATCAAAGAAGCCCACGTATCAATTCTGGGATGAATAATGCTGTAAAGAACTATTTACATTGAGTCCAAGCAGTCCATAGGAAGAAGGTAAATGTTGATAATTCAAGTGATGGTTATGTTTATGCTCCTTTTTCCAAAAGGTTTGGTGGAATGAAGAGTGATGGTAGAAGGATGCCTCATTCAGAACATGGGCCCTTTACTCCTCCTTGAAATTCTCCTTCTTGAAAATAAGGTGTGGTCACTCACACTTTCACTTTTCAAAATGCTGAAAAACATTCATAGAATAATAGATTTCTTAGAGTTGAAAAGGACCTCCGAGGCTCTTAACTCCCCTGCAATGAACAGCACAACTAGATCAGGGTGCCCAGGGCCTTATCCAAATTATACTTAAGCAGTGGCATATTGATCTGTGTACCTATCGATTTGTGAATTGGCACGGTGAGGGACTGCATGCCATTTCTGACCCTCTGGATGTAAAAATTTAATATGAAGCTCTATGGAAACACAGTGCAAATTCCACACTCATAACCACAGCCAAACCCCCTGGGGAGTGAGTGGTTTGCTTGTATGCACAACAGTCTCCACGTTGGTGCCAGCTGCAGCAAGCTTATTGAGTTGCAGTCTCCAGCGAGAGGCAGCACACAGCAGCTCAGAGGCAGCAGTCCTGCTCTAAGAAACCTCCCAGGCAACCTGCCAGCGTCATTTCCTGCAATACCTTATTGCAGAATATGGGGCAGTAGGATCCATTTATCAGGCGCAATGAGACACCTGATGTGCATTTGTACGAGAGAAAACTATTGAGGGTTTAAATCTGCTGGGGAGAGCAGCGTTCTGCAGGCTGATAATTGAATCTGTGTGCCTAAGACTGAATCTGGTTCAGCTCCTCCAGGATCAGACAGCAGCTGACTTTGGGACAGATCTCTGTAAAGGGGTTTGGCTTCTGGCTAACAAATCGCAGTGGGATGCGGCTCAGGACTCACCCCAAATGCACATCATTGACCCCACATCAGCTCCCATTGCTGGAGAGAAGAGCATCACACTAGGATATGTGGATTTGTTACTGAGGCACTCAACTCCTCTGCCCTGGCCATAAATCCAAGCCCAGGCAGATGCCTGAGTCCACTAATCCAAACCTCAATGGAGATGCAAGGCCGCTTTCCCAACATTCTGGTGTGAGAAGGCTCTGACTGGAGACAGCTGGGATGAGCAAATGGGAGGGCTGACAAAAGGCTGTCAATTAGGTGACCTTTAACAGAAGATCAGTTATTCCAGAGCAACTTCAAGCTGGCATTGGACAAGTGACTTCCAGCTCACCTGCTGCTCTTTGACTTGTAGAGCCCTGGCTATGGGAGGCCATCATGCTCCACACACACCAGTGCTCTGCACCCTGTTGGCTCTCCCAGGTGCATGTTCCTGCCTTCTGCTCCTCTGCAGTCTGCCAGGAGTTGCATATTCAGGGTATCCATTATGACTGCCCATTTAGGATTGCTACCAGGGGCTTGCAGAAAAATGCTCCCAAAGCCTGCAATGGCTGAGATGTCAGGCACTGTGCAATCAGTCCCACTTGAGCCTCAAAACTCTGCTTATAATTCCTTAAATTGGATAAAGGTGCATCAACTCAAGGAATATACATAGTAAGTCCTATTCTTACAGAGATCTTAGGGATATTAAGTACTAACAAAATCTGCTAATCACAGAATCATGGTGGTTGGAAGGGACCTCAAGGGGTCACTGAGTCTGACCCCCTGTCAAGGCAAGTACCCTATGATAGATTGCACAGGTAGGTATTCAGACAGGTCTTGAACGTCTCCATAGGAAACTCCACAACTTCTCTGGGCAGCCTGTTCCAGAGCTCTGTCACCCACTGTATAAAAATTCTTCTGCACATTAGTACAGAACATTCTGTGTCCAAGTTTAGGCCATTGCTCCTTGTCTTATTGCTACACACCACTGAGAAGAGCCTGGCCTCATCCATTTGCCTCTGATCTCCCTTTAGATATTTATAAACGTTTATCAGATCCATGTTTATAATAGCTGAGGTCAGGCTGCTGGCCATAGATCTGCATAGCTTTGCCAACAAGGCATCCTTTGCCTTTGGCAGCTATTACCTTGTGTATTTTCTTGGACTGAGGGCCACAACTTCCATTTATCTATCTCTCTTGCTTAAACCTTCTGAATGAATAAGATGCCTTCTACTTGCTATTTCATATACTGAGTTCTTACCTTGCAAATTATTTAAGGTCGTTCCTTAATAGGAAGGGAGCATAGATTCTAGAAAATAAAAAAAAAGAATTTGCCAATTCTATCAAGTAAGGATCTTAATATTTTTCATTAACACTGTTGTCCCTTAATACAACAGAGTTCTATTTAATCTGTATGAAATCTATATGAAAATTAGAATCATAGAATGGCCTGGGTTGAAAAGGACCACAATGATCATTGAGTTTCAACCCCCTGCTATGTGCAGGGTCGCCAACCAGCAGACCAGGCTGCCCAGAGCCACATCCAGCCTGGCCTTGAATGCCTCCAGGGATGGGGCATCCACAGCCTCCCTGGGCAACCTGTTCCAGTGCGTCACCACCCTCTGGGTGAAAAACTTCCTCCTGATATCTAACCTAAGCCTCCCCTGTCTCAGTTTAAAACCATTCCCCCTTGTCCTATCAGTATCCACCCTCATAAACAGCCGTTCCCCTTCCTGTTCATACACACCCTTCAAGCACTGGAAGGCCACAATGAGGTCTCCCCAGAGCCTTCTCTTCTCCAAGCTAAACAAGCCCAGTT